ATACCATGCTCGTGGATCGCAGACTCAATATCATCAAAATGTCTATACTACCCAAACTGATCTACAGATTCAATGCATACCTATTAAAATCCCATCAGCATTCTTCACAGATATAGAAAATAATTTTAGCTTGTATGGAACAAAGAGACCCCGAATATCAAGAGCGATTCTAGGCAACAAAAACAAAATGGGAGGCATTAATATGCCAGATATCAAACTATACTACAAAGCTGTAGTAATTAAAACAATATGGTATTGGCACAAAAACAGGAATATTGACCAGTGGAACAGATGTGAGAATCCTGATATAAAACCATCCTCATATAGCCATCTCATCTTTGACAAAGCAGACAAAACATACGCTGGGAAAAGAATCCCTCTTCAATAAATGGTGCTGGGAAAACTGGATAGCCACCTGTAGAAGGCTAAAACAGGACCCACACCTTTCACCTCTCACAAAACCAACTCACGCTGGATAACAGACTTAAACCTAAGGTATGAAACTATTAGAACTCTAGAGGAAAAAGTTGGAAACACTCTCCTAGACATCGGCCTGGCAAAGAGTTATGAAGAAGTCCCCAAAGGCATCACAGCAGCAACAAAATAAATAAATGGACATGATCAAACTACAAAGCTTCTGCACAGCCAAGAAAATAGTCATGAAAGTAAACAGACAACCTACAGAATGGGAGAAAATTTTGCATCCTATGCATCCGATAAGGACTGATAACTAGAATATACTTAGAATCACGAAAATTAGGAAGAAAAATCAAATAACCCCATTAAAAAGTGGGCAAAGGACTTGAACAGAAATTTTTCTAAAGAAGACCGAAGAATGGCCAACAAACATATGAAGAAATTGCTAAACTCTCTAATCATCAGGGAAATGCAAATCAAAACCACAATGAGATATCACTTAACCCCAGTGAGAATGGCCTTTATCAAAAATCTCCAAACAATAAATGCTGCGTGGTTGCGGAGAGAGAGGAACACTCCTACACTGCTGGTGGACTGCAAACTAGTTCAACCTCTGTGGAAAGCAATATGAAGATACCTTAAGCGATACAAGTGAATCTACCATTTGATCTAGCAATCCCATTGCTGGGCATCTACCCAAATGATCCAAACTCTACAAAAAAGACACCTGCACTTGAATGTTTATAGCAGCACAATTCATAATTGCAAGGCTGTGGAAACAGCCCAAGTGCCCATCAATCCAAGAATGGATTAATAAAATGTGGTATATGTATACCATGGAGTACTATTCAGCTCTAAGAAACAATGGTGATATAGCACATCTTATATTTTCCTGGTTAGAGCTGGAACCCTACTACTAAGTGAAGTATCCAAGAATGGAAAAACAAGCACCAGATATATTCTCCAGCAAACTGGTATTAACTGAGTAGCACCTAAGTGGACACATAGGTCTACAGTAATAGGGTATTGGGCAGGTGGGAGGGGAGGGGCGGGTATATACATACATAATGAGTGAGATGTGCACCATCTGGGGGATGGTCATGTGGAGACTCAGACTTTTGGGGGGAGGGGGAGGAAAGGGCATTTATTGAAACCTTAAAATCTGTACCCCCATAATATGCCAAAATAAAAAAATAAATAAATAAGTTTCCACATTCCTTGTGCTCTAGATTCCACAACACTCCAGCAGTTCTCCCACCTCTTTCCTACATCAACTTTTTTTTGGTCTTAACAGATCATTGCTGTTAGCATACAAACATGGTGTTATTTTTCCCATTAATAAAAAAAGAAAAACTTTTCTTGACCTCACTCTCTACTTTCAAGACACCACCCCATTTTTTTTTTTTTTTGAGACAGAGTCTCACTTTGTTGCCCAGGCTAGAGGTGAGTGCCATGGCAGTCAGCCTGCTCACAGCAACCTCAAACTCCTGGGCTCAAGCGATCCTCTTGCCTCAGCCTCCCTAGTAGCTGGGACTACAGGCATGCGCCACATGCCCGGCTAATTTTATTTTCTATATATATTAGTTGGCCAATTAATTTCTTTCTATTTATAGTAGAAACGAGGTCTCGCTCTTGCTCAGGCTGGTTTCGAACTCCTGACTTTGAGCAATCCACCCGTCTCGGCCTCCCAGAGAGCTAGGATTACAGGCGTGAGCCACCGCGCCCGGCCCCATTTCTTTACTGTTCCATTTCTTTATTGCCCCTGCCCCCATCAATCTTTCCATTCTCTCTTAAACTAATTCCAGTCAGGCTTTTAACCCCACTACTCCAGTAAAACTGGAGTCAACTTCCTCATGTTAAATTCCATGGCCACTTTTCAGTCTTCACTTTTCTTAACCCGGCTAATGACCAGCATTTGACATTGCCAGTTATTCCTTCCTCTTCATACACTGTCTTCCCTTGCCTTTGGAAGACACTGCACTCCTTAGCTTTTCCTATCTCACTGGTCATTCTTTTTCAGTCTCCTTTGCTGGTTTCTCTTCTTCCCAACCTCTTAGTGATATGGTGCCTCAGGCTCACTTCTTGGTCCTACTCTCTACCTAGAACTCATTCCCTTGCTAATCTCTTCCTAATTCCATCCCTGTTTCTACTCTTCCTCCCAATCCACAGTATATTATCAAGAGAGTGGCCATGATGACCCTTTTAAAGTAAAACTCAAAGCAAGCTCAAAACCCTCCCATGACTCCCAAAACACCCACCATACCCTACATGATCTGTTTCCCTCCTCCGTTATCCCTCTAATTTCGTGCTTCCCTCTCATATATTCCATGCAAATTACATGGGCTTTTTTTTTTGCCCCCCAGACACTTCAAGGAGCTCCTACCTTAAGCTCCTGATCTCTTTTGGTGTCAAAATATAACTGTACTGACAATGTTCTGATCTCCTTCAAGTCTTTGCTCAGTTTTCACCTTTCTCAAGAAGTCTACCTTGACTACTACATTTTTAATTGCAACTCCCTCCTCTTTGGAAGTCCTGATTTGCTTACCTGCTGCTATCTATCTTGTCTATCCGTCTGTCTCTATATATGTATATATGTTAATATATATAATTTACTTTTGTAATTATGGTTGGTTTTTCATTGCCAGTGTTTCCTCACTATCTTTACAAAAACAGGGGGATTTGTTATGTTGACTGATATATCCCAAGCACCAAGCACATAATTAAGTGTTCAAAACAGTCTGCTATGCTCATGAATACATATTAATTTCACTAATGCTAATAAATACATATTCTGCAAAATAGTCTTTTTCTAATTTAAGTAGACATTACTACAGAACTTTTATATTATTTCCTGAATGGTTTTGTCTTAAAATATAACATCTACACCCCAATCAAATTCCACTACAGAAGATAAATCAAATTATGACTGACACTATCACTTCTAAAAGCTGTTTAAATATCCTTACCTACAATTGAACTACATTCAGAATGATGAAAAATATTCTCTAACCTGTGGAAACAGCAACAAAGTTACTTCTAATCTGATACTTTATAGCTTATTATAAATCTATATAAATACTATAACCAAAAAAAAAAAATCAGGCTTCAGATAAAAATAGTTAAAGTATCTGATTCAAATGAAAAATATACAAGTGGAAAAGAATATCAAATAATACTTATCACTTAATTTTAAATATGCTATTAAACTTGCACATATACAACTTTTAAAATTCTCATGTTCCCTTGACAATTTTGCTGTTTCTATTCACAATTCAACTTTGGAAATATCACATTTTAATTCAAAATTCAACTCTAATTTCATAGGCTTTTCATTTTATTTAATTATAGTTAATTTCCTTTTAATTTTCACACTTAAATCTCATTATTTCTTCAGGTTCTTTTCACATCTGAATGATTTATTTTAATCCCATCAAATCTCTCTTAATTCTTTCTACTATATTTTATTCATCATATATTATATTACAGAATTCTAATTTTTCACTTAAATATTTACCTAAAACTCTCTCTCCCTCTCTCCAGAACTTATTTTATTTTATAATTTAGTTCTAGTCATATTCAATGTTTTTTTAAAGCAATCTTCCTTTATAGAATGTTTTAAATATTCAAAATTTACAGGGCTAATAAATTCAGTGGGTAGACATATCAGATAAAATACTGGTACTCAGTTAAATCTGAATTTCAGATAAACAACAAATAATTTTTAGTTAAAAGTATGATCCGTGCAATATTTGGAGCAAAACAAAAATATGTATACTACAAGAGGCCTTCTTATACTAAAAATTTATTTGTTGTGTATCTGAAATTCATGTCTGACTGGATGTCCTCTCAATTTATCTGCTGGATCTAGCAATTCTATTTGGTGCATGCCATTATGGTATACTCTCCAGGGCCAGTTCTGATTGATGCCCAATTTGCAACAGTTACTACATATTACAACTATCACCCCTGAAAACAACATTGATAATCAAATGTTTCTCCCTAGTTCCTCTTCTATTCTGTTATAGAATGGTTTATAGAATATAGTCATCAGCTGAAAAAGAAATCAGATAAATCCATGTGATTCCCCTTATCCAGTTATGCAGAGAACAATCTCTATTGAGCCAACAGTTAAATGAATGATCTATTTATCATACAGGCACTGTTCTCCCAACAAAAGTCTGTAAAGTGGATACAAAGTAAAAGTTCAGGTAAATTAAAATTTACAGAACAAACCAAAAGTACTTTTATATGTGTGCTTACACTTCATTCTGAAAAAAATGAAAGGTGGCATAATACATTATGCCCCAATATAGGCATGGCCTGCCCTTATTTGAAGTTAACACTTTCAAATTCAGAATTTACTTAAAGCACTCTAGAGAGAGAATAAAATTTCTACACAAAGCAAACTATATGTATGATGACAATTAACTATTGAGTTCATACATTCCCAAATCAGTCCCATTAATAAATAGATTCTATCACAAAACTAACCACAAGTGGTTGGACAGCAACAAAACAAAACATTTAGGATAAAAATCCAGCCTAAACAAATAGATGGTGAAAATCTGAAAATAAATACTTACTTCAGCACCATTTGAAAAGAACTGTAGTTAAAAGTATATCCACCAATCACCCACATAAATTTCCCATGTAAAACTGCTTTGTGTGAAGCCCGACCTACAGAAGGACTGAAGGGTTTAACATTTGGCAGAATCCAATAAGACTCAGTAGAGGGAACATTCAAAGAACAATCAGGACCTATTAAAAAAAAAACCAAACAACACACTGAATTAAACAAAGACTTTATAGAAGTAAATATATGGATTAGGAGACTTTAAGAATACAATGCTTATCATATTAATAAATGTAACATATATAATAAATGATCCAAATATAGCTTATAAGAAAAATACTAATACCAAATGTAATGCCCAAAAGGGAAAAAAATCAGACTTGGATACATTCAAAGAAATATCACAATCTAAAAAATGATTTAAATAATAAAGATTTCAGATTTACTTTTGTATGCTACTAAAATGACAAAATGGAAAACAATGTACTCAAACCCCAGTTCTGTCACTTACTACCAATGTGACTTTAGGCAAGTTTGTTTACCTCTCGCATCATCAAGCCTCCTCAATCTATAAAATGGAAATAACAACCTAACCCCAAGGGTTATTATAAATATTTATTGTTAAAATGTAGTGGAAGTAAAAGCATTATTATATTATAAACTACTAAAATATAAAAATAAAGATTACATTATTCTTAGCATTGTTATTAAGAACCACCAAAATTGGCTTTAGTAGGGAGCTTTATATATCTTCAAAAAGAAAAAATTATTATGCATAATAAAAACAATTAATGCAGAAAAATTTCAAATACTATAAAATTGAAAACACAGCCTTTTCCTATCCATATTTCATGATGTTACTTATGAGTCTTAGTTTCCTCATCTGTAAAATATAGGAGACTAGCCTAGATCAGTGTTTCTCAAACTTAAGTAATGGAAGGAATGTTCCTAAAGGGAATATATTTTCATCAAACCTTGGGGAACACAAATTATTTTAATTTTGATGAAACTAAAAAATGCTCAAATACTAAATATAAACACATGCTTAAATTTATGGTATAAAACAAACATAAATTTATAAATTATAAGCAACTTTATAAAACTAATAAAATTAACATTTACTTAATATGATGTATAATACTGTTTTGTTCAAATTAAATAATTGATCTCAAGTTGAAAATGGCACTAATTTTTAGAGTGCCTTTTTTACACAATTTTAGCATACATATATTATTTTGACAACATAATTCTCCCACCATTTTCCTTCCCTCCATTTACAAATCTTTTTAATTCATATATTATAGCACATCATCATCTGTTCTTGACTTGTCACAAAAGTATTAGTACACTTCACTTGTATTCTTTTTAGCCTGCAATAATTACAGGTATACTACTTACTCCCAACTTAATACTCAACATAAACACTGGCATTGCAATCAAGCATCATTACTCAGTTATGAGATCAGGCAGTTGACCTTAAATTTGCTTATTTCAAAAAGTTTACAAAATTTTAAAACTTTCAAGCAGATTGTTCTTATTTAAGAAGCATTGGCCCCTATAGTTTGCATTTTGTTCAGTTGCTCATTCATCCATGTATTCATTCATTCATCTTCAATATCTTTTCAATGCTTACATTATATGGGTCTGTATTTTTCAGGGATAAACTAGGAAGTATCCTAGATTATCTCTTTGATAATGATATAATCTTTTAAGTCAAATACAGAAAACTTTATTATTTCTAAGTGAAAAGACTGTAAACTACTCCTTGATAATTAGAGATATTAAAGGAATTTCTTTTTTAAGAAAAATTATTTTAACTACAATTCTATTTTTTATTTTTATTTCTTTTATTTCAGAACTAATACTTCGTTTTATCCTGGATGGAGCTGGAGCCCATTCTTTGAAGTGAAGTATCACAAGAATAACTACAATTCTAAATCATTTAGAAATCACTTAACTCCAAATCCAGCTGACTAGATGTTTTTGAAATAAAGTTTTATTAAAACACAGCCATGCTTACTCAGTTAAGTATTGTCTATGGCTACTTTAGCAGAGTTGTGTAACTGCAACAGAGACCATATAGCCTGAAAACTAAAAAATATTTCCTGTCTGGCCTTTTATAGAAAAGTTTGCCAACCTCTAAATTAACTGAAGATCATATAGACATTATATATAAGTAATACATCTATTGGTATGAAGTTTTATATCTTATTTTACTAAAAGGAAATGTATATTTATTTTAAATCATGTAAGTCAGGTATAACAAAGCAAATAGAGTAAAATGTTAACAATAGGTGAGTCTGCCTAGAGAGCAGTCAAATAGTCTTTGGATTATTCCTATATTTATAATTTTTCTATAGCTTTGAAATTATTTTTAAATAATTAAAAACAGAATATCACCCAAAGGCACAGAGTTAGAAGCAGTCAAGTAATACAATACATGGGTATGACTTGGCAAAGAGTTTGACAGAGAACAATGGCATGAAAAAATCTTGAGAGTCAAGGATATATTTGAATCACTAATATATTTATCAAATCTGCATTAAAGCAAAATACTGCAGAGCAAGTTTACACTAGGATGAATAATAGCCCCCACAGATATCCAAGTCCTAATCACCTGAACCTGTGAATGTTACCTCATATGGCAAAAGGAACTTTGCTGATGTGATTAAATTAAAAATGTTGAGATTTAGGGTATTATCATAGATTATGTGAGTGGGCTCTAAATGTAATCACAAGTGTCCTTATAAGAGAGGTAGATTTGACTACAGAAGAAAGCAATGTGACCACTGCAGATGCTGCACTCCTAGATTTGAAGATAGAGGAATTAGGCAAGTAACACAGGAAATGCAGTCCCAGAAGCTGGAAAAATCAAGGAAATAAATTCTCTCCTATAGCCTCCAGCCCTGCCAAGGTCTTTACTCTGATCCAGGGAAATTGATTTCAGACTTCTGGCCTCCAGAATGGTAAGAGATTAATAAATATATGTTGTTTTTAGATACCAAATTTGTAGTAATTTGTTACAGCAGCTGTAAGAAACTAATACTAATAATTAATGTATTAATTTAATTTAAATAAATTATTTAATACAGAAAATAGAATTCTAAAAATATTTCTAAAATTTCATTCTATAATCTAAAATACCTAATTTTCTACACGAAAGGAAATAGCAATCAAAATTCTTCCTATCTCTGTTATTAAAATATTTTATGTAACTTGTAGTAATTATTAGAAGGAATGGCCTATAGCCAAATCTATAGATTGTCTTTATTTTACTCTGAATTATTAAATTTAAAAATAGAATAACAAGATTTATAAATATAATTTAAAGACTGAAGGAAAATTAGATGTCTTAATTCATAGCTTTCTGCATTCTATAAGTGAAATAATTAAAAATATAAATTAATAAACCACATATTAATTTAAAACACAAATAATATAAAGAGTACCTGAATACAAAGACTTCCTCATCTATTAAAAATCTAACATTAAAAGCCATTCAAGCAAGATTCCCCTTTTTTTCAATTTTAATGATACATAATAATTGTCCATATTTATGGAATGAGCATGATATTTTAATACACACATATGATGTGTAATGATCAAAACAGGTTATCCATCATCTCAAATGTTTATAATTTCTTTTGTTGGGAACATTGCAAATCTTCCAGCTATGAAATATACAAAAATTATTATTAACTATATTCACCCTACTGTGCTATTGAACATTAGAACTTATTCCTTCTACGTGACTGTAATTTTGTACCCATTAACCAACCTCGGTTCATCTTCCCCCTACCTTTCCCAGCCTCTGGTAACCATCATTCTACACTCTACCACCATGAGATCAATTATTTTAGCTCCCACATGTAAGTGAAAACATGTGATATTTGCAAGATTCCCTTTATTTTATAAATTCCCATATTTATAAAAATATGTCCATAAAAAATCTTCTACCACTTCATAATCTGGTATCTCATTCAACATCTCTGTATAACTTTCCCTGTATAACTTCTCTCAATCAATATGAGAATCTTTTCAAGGTAGCAGGTCTCAGCTATTTTTAAAAGAGTATAATAAACTAATTCATATTACAAAGGACCTTCTTAAAGATTTAATATGCTACTTTTACCATGGGTTATGTAAAATTTAACAAACCATAGAGCGTAAATAAATTTCTAGTGCTATAACTTTAGGCATTAGTGACAGGCTGCAGAGAGTCAGATTTTTGAGGGGAAAAAGCTATTATATAATCACACAGGGTAGAATTATACTCTGATCTCTCCCAAACTTATATGTCCAGGCCCACAATCTCTCATAAATTCAAACTACTTCTTGATATTTCCATTGGATGTCTAATAATCATCTCATACGCCCAAAACTAAAACCTTGATTTTTTCCCTCCCAAACCTGCTCCTTCACCAATTTTTACCATCTGAGTAAATGGCAATTCCACTCTCCCAGTTGCTCAAGGCAAAAGCCTTGGTGTCATTCTTAAATTCTCTCTTTCTCCCACACCCTACATCCAACCCACCAACAAATCCAACATTAATTAGCTATGCAGAGATTACAGACTTTCCACATGTTAAAATATGGAAATGCTTCAATGATTGTTGGTAAGCAGATGTGCCTCAGCATCCCAAGTATCAACCTTACCTTCCCAGTTCCCCTGACTCCTCACCAGAGATCATTCAGACCTCCTTATAATAGATAGCTAAAAGGGTAATGCCTGGCACAGCATGGCTCTTCCAGGATCTTTCTCTAGTCCTCAGGCCAGCATCCATTTTGACCGGTGTCCTGTCTGTGCCTTTCCAATTAAAAACATATTTAGGCCGGGCGCGGTGGCTCACGCCTGTAATCCTAGCACTCTGGGAGGCCAAGGCGGGTGGATTGCTCAAGGTCAGGAGTTCGAAACCAGCCTGAGCAAGAGCAAGACCCCGTCTCTACTATAAATAAAAAGAAATTAATTGGCCAACTAATATATATAGAAAACATTAGCTGGGTGTGGTGGCGCATGTCTGTAGTCCCAACTATTTGGGAGGCTGAGGCAGAAGGACTGCTTGAGCCCAGGAGTTTGAGGTTGCTGTGAGCTAGGCTGATGCCAAGGCCACTCACTCTAGCCTGGGCAACAAAGTGAGACTCTGTCTCAAAAAAAAAAAAAAATATTTAAATGCTATCACCCGAC